GTTTAACTCTTGGTCTTGTTTTTTAAAAATGCTTTTATACATTTTCTTATTTGAAAAATTATTGAAAATAATAGGAGCATGTAGCTTTGGCAATTTGAGTCTAGCTCTAAACTTATATTTAACAAGATTTGTGATAAAGACTTCAGTGAGGATAAAGGCAGTGGTGGGTAAGTGGATTTGGTCAGGAAAGCCTTTTCTGAGGAACTAAGTTTACATAGCACAGTGAGATTCATTAGTAACCCATCAGTTTCAATCATATGCTTGAAGTTAGTTTATAGGACATTGTGATTTTGTTACCTGACTACATATCATTTAGTTACTTCACCTGCCTGCATCTGAAATGTATATAACAAGCTAATTTCTACTCTGAGCTCCTGTTTCTAAGGCTGGCAAATTTATTTGTAAACAAAGCCTACAAACTTCTCCATCCATAATTTCTATTTTACTCCCAAGTATCTCTTCATTTCTGTTCTCCTTGATGATTACATTAGTTTAGGCTCACACCACTTTCTATATGGATTACTGCAGCAGCCCCTTGGCTGGGACTATCTTGACTATACCTACTTCTTCACTCTGTAGCGGACATTCTCTGTTCATATTTCTACTATTTGTCCATTCTGGATGTCACCGCTATGCTAATCATCTACAAACTCTTTTTGTTGTCCCTCTATGTTCAAATATTTTACATGTCAATACTCTTGTACTTAACAATTATTATCAAGGGCATTCATTAATCTGCAGCATTCTTTCAAACAAATGTTATCTATCCAGTTTCATCCTAACACATAGTGCCCCATAGTTTATTCTCACTCAGGCAAATTAACTATAACTATTTTATTTCTTCAATATGGCCAGTTTTTTTTTTTTTTCATTCTGTATTTTTCCCATCCCCATATCCAGGCCTTGCCCATGTCTTCTCAGGCACCATTACTGTTAGAAACTGCCACTGACTCTCCTAAGCTTTACTAATCTCCCCTACCCACACACTCTCTTTCTTCTGAAACCTGTAACATAGATAATCTTACAACTTTTACTATGTGCAGCATAATGTTGGTTTACAAGGCTCATGTCCCTCAATAGAGTCCATTTCTATAAAGGCAAGTTTAATTTTTTTTTTCTGACCCACAAACCCAGTCCCCTATTGGTATGTTTTTTTTTTTTTTAATTTTTTATTGTGGGTTGTTCAAAACATTACAAATTTCTTGACATATCATATTCCACACTTTGATTCAAGTGGGTTATGAACTCCCACCTTCACCCCATACACAGATTGCAGAATCACATCAGTTACACATCCATTGATTTACATATCGCCATACTAGTGTCTGTTGTGCTCCGCTGCCTTTCCCATCCTCCACCCTCCCCCCCCTTTAATTTTTAATAACTACTTAATGACTGATTATGGAATGATTAATTGATAGGTACCTTTAGTGGATGAAGGTTTATTGATATTATATTAGATTTATCATATGTTGGGTTGCTATAGTTATATTTACTTAGTGTACAGTAAAGCAGATGATAAGTTTATCAAATTTATGAGTAACTATAATCACATTTATAGTCATGTATAACTGTAAAAGTTATGACATTAGAGTACACTTCTAAGTGTCAAATTAATGGATAGGTATAACATGCCATTATATTCAATAACTTTCATGAATAGTCACTCTGGTCCTGGAACAAGGGAAACAATGAAGAACAAAAGAGGCATTAACTCTATCCTTTCAGGGCTTCTAGTCCAATTGGGAGAATGACTTTAAACAAAAATTTAATTATAATTATGGCAATAAGTACAAAGAAGAGATACTTTGCACAATGACCATGTGGACCTATTGGGTCTTACCAAGTTGAGAAGGCCAGAGAAAGTTTCATAGGAGAATTTTGTGGAGAAACTTAATCATCTATCTTAATACCTGCTCTAGTGATGTCCCTGCTGTGTGGAGCAGGCTCAGGAGAAGGTAGGGCCTTTGCCTCTGCCCACTGCTATAGTGACATCCACTGTAGAACTTCATCCTGGGATTTTCAGAACATAAACATAGCAGAAAATATGAAACAGTTGTTTCTGGGTAAGGAAAAATAATGCATTTAGAGAGTCCACACTAGAGATTAAAGTTGGCCACAGCCAAGTGAAATGTGCAATTAAAAACTGTTTGCAGGGCTGGGGATGTGGCTCAAGCGGTAATGTGCTCACCTGGCATGCGCAGGGCGCTGGGTTCGATCCTCAGTACCACATAAAAATAAAATAAAGATGTAGTGTCCACCAAAAACTGAAAAATAAATATTAAGAATTCTCTCTCTCTCTCTCTCTGTCTCTCTCTCTCTCTCCCTCTCCCTTCTCTTTTAAAAAAACTGTTTGCAGAAAATAGGAGAAACTTAATGTATCTATTTAAATTCATTAGACCAAATTCTACCCTCAGGGACATACAGTGGAATTCCTTTGGCATCAGAAAGTAAGTTGAAAAGTTTAATGGGGAAAAAAAGCTCTTCAACATTTTATACCTGTTAACAAAAAATATAAGTTTGATAGGTTCCTAATATCAGTTCTAAATAGTGAGTGAAAATATTTCTCACCCTTTGCCTCATCACTGATAAGTACTATATCACTTAAATACATTTTACTTCTGATGAAGGAAACAAATTGGGAAATGTTACATGAAATGCAAAATGAAGCAATACATCTCATATCCAGTCAAAAACATTTCACAGCTGAAATTGAAAGGTAGACAGGGAAAGATGTGGGATTTTGTATACTGCCATTAAACTCCATAATATCATATTCATAAACATGTAACAAATTCAAAAGTGTAATTACTTATCAAAATGAAATGACTGTAGTTACAATGAAAACTCCATTGTTCACGTAATGTTTTCATTTGCTTACATTACACATAGACCCGTACTAAGCTTGTTTAAAGAGTACAGCGTTATCCTTTATAGTAGCTTTATTTTAAAGCATGTCAAATCATTTGATGGCATTTTCCACAGCAGTCAGGCTGTGCACACACCTCACATGGCATACCAAGTACTCTTCAGCAAGATCTAAAGTGTTTCACAGACCTAAAGTATCCCTCACTTCCCCACATTATCCCTTTCCAATGACCACTAACATTTCATGATTATGTTGTAGGAAATGAGCCTGTATTGTACATATATGGCTAGCCAGACTCAACTGTCTATGACATTCTCCATGTGCTGATTAATTCTAATTCCTGAAAAATGTTCCTGTTACTATGCTTGTTCCCTAATCAGGGAAGTATAATGTCTGCCCGTGAGCTTTCATAACCATAAAGTTCTTTGTATCAAACTTCTTCATAATCTGGGTAAAATTTATTTTTTTAAGTATTCCTCACTTGTACCTCTACTTTTCATTCAGGTCCTTCACCCAATATTGTGCTCACTTCTGGCTCTATGACATCCCCAATATTTCAAGTGTTTATTTAAATTACTCTCATCTTTCAAGGTTTTTCCCAAGTTATGTCTCCCTGGAGCATTTTACATACTACTTCACTTACTGTAGTTTCTCTTTTTTCATCCCATTATAGTTTCTTGCCTATAATGCACAACCCATTTATTATGATTTTAGTCACTCTCTGCTTTAAAATTTATAACATTTCAAAGGAGTTATGCCAAACATTTGTATTTTAAACAGATAGTTACTCCATAAATATTTGAATGAATGACATAGATACCCTAAATATTTGAATAAACAATAATATAAATTACAAGTTAAATATCATAAATATTCTATTGTTATATTTCATAGTGCTTATATTATGTATAAAGATAAACATACATCATTTAAAACCTCCACTGCTTTTTTTTTACAGATAGATATTTCAGAATTTTAAAATGTAGAGTTCTTGGTAATCATTTATTTTAACCTCATCATTTTTTTGGAGGATATTGGGGACAGAATGGCAATTAAGAAGCAAGGCACAATGAATCCTAAACTTATGGCAAATATCAAGTACAATGTTTTCCACCAATGTTTGTTGTTTAACCAACTACCTAATAGCCTATCTTAAGTACAGCAAGGAGATTTTTCTTAATTTTTTTTTGCATGTGTTACATGATATCTCCTTGTATGAGACTCTGTGAAAGTCTAAAATGTACCCATGTTTCTTTCTAATTATTTTCAGTTGCTAAATTTTCAAAGGTTACTAAAATTTGAAACAGGTTTGAAATGACTGCATAACAAAGTGTTTCATGACATCTCAGTTGTTCTCATTGTTTAAAAAACCCACTTTTGTAGTCATTTTTTCATATAATTGCTGATATTTTCTCACAAAGCAGAAACAGAATGATAGAAAATAAATGTGTGAGTATGTATTCTCCAGAACATGATTGTCTACCTCCCCCACAGTGCATATCATGATACAACAGAGCTGTATGACCCCAAGAAGTGTTTCACTCCTCACATTTGTCTTATCACATAACCTAACTTTGTCAATATATAGTTCTAAAATGAACAGTTGGATTGTGGGATTATATCTGTATTTTGAAAGGGTTATTCTAATTAAATTAACTATTATTGGGTTGTTTCTTTGATTAATTTGAAATGTATGCTGAGTGACAAAATTTTTTGCCTTCATATTTTGGAAAAAAGACTTTTGTTTTAATTGTGTCAATTAATGAAACATGTCCAAACTTTTGTGAACTTTCAATGTGTGTAATTAAACATAAACTGCTTGAATATGCAATATATGATATGTATCTGGATGATAGGAAATGGCAGTGTAACCTTTCTGTGGTATTAGGTCTGTATTATCTCCAGAGTGTGATGCAAAGCCCAGTGTTTCTCTGTATTAGGGATAGTGACCTGGGTTCAGTGATACCCTTTTTCTCATTCCATATTTCCTTTGTCTTCATCCATATCTGGGAGAAGGAATGGAAAGTTTTCTAACCTATATCAGTTCCCCTCCTTCCTAGTCTGACACTAAATAACATAAAAATTTGCTCATTTTGATGCTGAAAACTGTTTTGTTTTATTCTGTTTTCAGACTGTATTTCCTGTGAGTCATAATCAAGCAATACAAATGTGCTGCAATGGTGACATAAACTATTGACTGAGACTGGGAAAGTACCTGAAACACCATCTTTTCTTTTCTTTTTTAAATGGTGCTTCTGTTGGAAGAGTCAAGGAAAACCTATACATCATGAGTTTTATCATGAGGCTTCACAGACACTTTCAAAGGACGGTTATTTTGCTTGCCACTTTTTGTGTGGCGAGCATTATTATTTCTGCTTACTACCTGTACAGTGGCTACAAACAGGAAAATGAACTCTCTGAAGTGGCTTCAGAAGTGGACTGCGGTGACCTCCAACACCTACCATATAGACTAATGGAAGTGAAGGCAATGAAGCTTTTTGATGCCTCAAGGACAGACTCCATAGTCCTTGTGTTTGTGGAGAGTCAGTACTCATCCCTTGGTCAAGACATCATTATGATTCTAGAATCAAGTAGATTCCAATATCACATTGAAATTGCTACCGGAAAAGGAGATCTCCCAGCACTTACAGACAAAACTAAAGGCAAATATGTTCTCATTATTTATGAGAATATTTTAAAATACATAAATATGGACTCTTGGAATCGAAGCCTTTTAGATAAATACTGTGTAGAGTATGGTGTAGGTGTCATTGGATTCCATAGAACTAATGACAAGAGTCTACAGAGCTTTCAGTTAAAAGGCTTCCCCTTTTCTATATATGGAAACCTTGCAGTAAAAGACTGTTGTATTAATCCTCATTCTCCCTTGCTCCGTGTGACCAAATCATCAAAGCTTGAAAGGGGTTCTTTACCTGGAACTGACTGGACGGTTTTTCAAATTAATCACTCAACCTACCAACCAGTAATATTTGCCAAAATAAAGACCCCAGAAAATCTTTCTCCTCCAGTCTCTAAAGGTGCTTTTTTTGCCACTATCATACACGACTTGGGTGTTCACGATGGAATTCAGAGAGTTCTTTTTGGCAACAACTTGAACTTTTGGCTGCACAAGCTCATTTTCATAGATGCCATCTCCTTCTTGTCAGGGAAGAAGCTGGAACTGTCCTTGGATAGATATATTCTCGTTGACATTGATGATATATTTGTGGGAAAGGAGGGAACCCGAATGAACACCAATGATGTTAAGGTAAGGTTCTATTATCTGAAAATCTATTATCTGAAAATTTAGTTCATATCTCAGGAGTGTTAACAACTGTCCTGGTTTGAATTAGGCCTAAAGAATTTTCTAGGACATGGGACTATTATTTTATTGTGAAAGTCTGGGATAGGCTACCATAATTGGCTATCGTATCTCTCACCTTAAAACACCTGCATAGATAGTATATCTACTGAACAAGAAAATAAAAGTTATACTAAAATATTGAACATTGTAAGATCCTGAAATGGTTTTCCTTACCTAATTATAATTACAGAGTAGAAATGATTTTTAGTTGCTCACTACAAACTGTCTACCTTGGAAAACTGACTAATCTGAAATTCGATGCATTTAAATATGACATTAAAGTGAATTTGTTTTGCAGATCTCATAAGTAGCAAGTTCAATATTTTTGAAAGTCAAATATATGTCATTTTATCTTAATATATTTTTGAAACTCTGAAAAATATGGGGAATTATGAGTATAAAAGCACATATATATACATATATATGTCTATATATGTGGGTTTAACTTGATTTTAGTGGATAATTCTAGTACATGCATGGATTCTATTATTCTACACTTAAATTATATTACATTTTTTATTGTGTGAAACTGCTTCTCTTAAAAAGAAAGCATTCCTTTAAAGGTAGTTTATTATTAACAATTAAATGGTTGTTTAATGTTAATCAAAGTCACAATTAAGATTATTTACATTTATCTTAGTTTTCCATTGAAAATGCTATAGGATTCCATCTCTGTTATAATATGTTATTGATTTTCCATAAATAAGAAATGTCCAAAGAATACATCTTGAAAATGACATCTCTTTTCTCTAATCACTGAAGTTTCTGGCAAAAAATATTAAGTTCATTGAACTACTTAAATGAGCTAAGGATACCAGAGGACCTATTTAATGTTCCTATAAGAAGATGTGAACATTAGAAAGAAACAAATGTCCATAGTAGAAATTAATTAATAAATAAGTTTTATTCGGATTTATTAAGTCTTTTGCAATTTACTTTAGCCAGTATTATCTTAAAAGCAAACTGGTAATTTAAATATTCATTTGTGGTTAAAGATTACAAATATTCTTATTATAAATAATAATACATTATTTTACTTCTATTTTTTCCATTTCCATTTATTGTTATGGAAAACATTTGCAATGCATATTTATTTATTCCATAAAATTTTTAGACTCCCCAAAATATGTTGGTATGGCATTTAAAAATATGCTAAATAAACTCTGAGCTTTGCATGAAATGCCCTAATATTTTACAAAATACAAAGTACTTTTTTCACTGTAAAGGTTAAGCCAATTTTTAGGAACACAAAAAAATTAAAGGCTTTGTATTCACATTAAAGACCTTAACATGTGTGGTTTATGAATTACTTGCATTTATGTAGGAAGATATTTTCTAAACCATTTGAAAGCTTTAAAAGACATGTTTGTTTGTTTGTTTCCATGCAATTTTTTGTTGTTTATTTTCAATGATGTGCCTGTTAACATTTCACACATTCACACATCATCCACCTTAAAGAATGTGCTATTGAAATGATCAGTGTTTTTTATGTAATTTTTAAATTTATATATGACACTAGAATGAATTACAATTCTTATTACATATATAGAGCACAATTTTTCATATCTCTGGTTGTATACATAGTATATTCACACCAATTTATGTCTTCATACTTGTACTCTGGATAGTAATGATCATCACATTCCACCATCATTAATTACCCTATGCCCCCTCCTTTCCCCTCCAACCCCTTTACCCTATCTAGAGTTCATCTATTCCTCCCATGCTTCCTGTCCCTACCCCACTATGAATCAGCCTCCTTATATCAAAGAAAACATTCGGCATTTGGTTTTTTGGGATTGGCTAACTTTACTTAGCATTATTTTCTCTAACTCTGTTTATCTGCAGATGCTATGATTTGAGGGATGTAGCTGTGGCTCAGTGGCAGAGTGCTTGCCTGACATGTGTGAGGCACTGGATTTGGTTCTCAGTACCACATACAAAAAAAAAAAAAAAGCAAATGGTTTGCCTAGTGCTGAGGGGGGTTGGTGCTAAAGTCATGCTGTCCATCTACAACTACAAATTTTTTTTTTTAAAAGACATGCTTTGAATTGTGGGGTTTTCTTAATTTTTATTTATTTTTTAGTTGTAAAGGGCCAGGATGCCTTTATTTGTTTATTTTTATGTGGTTCTGAGGATCAAACCCTGTGCCTCACACATGCTAGACAAGTGCTGTGCCACCGAGCTACAGCCCTAACCCTTATCTGGGTTTTTAAAATACTTCTTAATTGCCTCTGTGATGACATCGCAAAATACTTATTCATTTCAAACAGTTGCCCAGAGAATATAATATTCATTCTTTATTTCTATACCTATTCATTAAGTGTATACCATATGTGCAACAATTTTGGAGATATTTTAGGTAGAATCATAGAGCATAATGGCCCCAGGCTCTTTGGAAGAGGTGGGTAGGGAGTGTGTGTAGTGTTAGGAAAGCACATTGAGCTGAGCATCTATCTGTTTAGTATTTTATATACCCTTATCACTTGCCAGGCACAGAAGTAGGCACTAGAGACACAACAATAAAGCATAGCTCTTCTCTTAATAAGCTCACAGTTTTGTGGGAAAGATAAATTGGTAGTTAGCTTGCAACAAGTACAATATTATTTATGTAAGAAATACAGTAGTCTATAGCATGTGTAATGTACTAGAATCTACTAAGCACGTAGGAAAGAATGTGAAGATAAGTCTGTAGTGATGTGATGATTTGGGAAATTGTGGCAGTGATTCAGATGGCCATTTCTTGAAAACAGAAAATAGGAATTAGAATTGAGAAAGAAGGATGCATTTAAAAATTATCTAGGAGGCAAAATTGAACAATTTAGTAATTAGTTAAATAGAGATGAAACAGAATATAATTGAGGATAATATAATTTTTAGCATAAGTGAATAATTGCTGATAATACCAACAAGAAATAGAGATATGATCATTGTGAAGGTCATTACACATAAAATTTCAGCTTTCTCAATGGGCACATGGAACATACAGATATTTCAGGTAGTCTGAGCAGTAGATTTCAAAGTCCTCATCCTGTAGTCCTCATCCACATGAAAGGATGTGAGATCAGCCATGCAAAGGATTTATAGAATAATAAGATATGACCAAGTATAGAATCTTGAGGAAAATCATCTTTCAAAAAACAAGTAGAGGGAGATTGCCCATGAAATAGAGTTAAAAGCACAATAAATACCAGTAAGCTGAACTGCTGTAGAAGCCTTAGTAGTGAATTGATTCAGGGAAGATGCATCAGCAGCATTAAACCCAACAGCAAGGCCCACTGAGGTAAGGACTAGAAAGTCTCCTTAGTTAAAGGTCATTTGATGATTCTTACAAAGCCCATATGTATGAGTGATAAAGGCAGAAACCCAGCTGCAGTGAGTTCAGGAGTGAACCAAGAGACCAAGGGGAAGAGAAAGAGAGTAGAGTACTTAAAGTAACTGGAGGGTGAACTGGTATTAAGGTGACCAATCATCCTGGTTTGCCTAGGGCTGAAGGGGGTTGGTGCTAAAACTTATAGTCTCAGAGTTAGTTTAGTTATGAGTGGCCTAAGTAAAGGAAGAGAAAAAATATCAAAGACATTGAGATTGAAGAAAAGGTGAAGGATGTGGTGATTAATAGTACATAATTAATAGAAGCATTTTAATCAAGTTCTTTAATCATTACCATTTATGAGCAAATTTTATATTATCTTTATTTGAAGTGTTAGAAAAAATAAAAAGAATGTGAGAAAATTGAAGGTTATAGACTGTTACTTGAAAAATTAGAATGATAGTGTATAACATAAATTTTAACTAATTAATGCATATGCTTTTTTTCTTATGTGTAAAAATAAATGTTTCCTTAAAGAGATTAGAATTAGCAGCAGTATCAGCTTTACCTACCTACGTATCTGTTGAATAATATGAGTATGTTTTAAAGAGACACAAATCTACAGAGGAAACTATGATGAAACACAGAATATATTATTCTTTGTGCAAAAAAAAAAAGCAAATTAAAAAAAAGTTCCAGAAACAACAACCACCAAAAAAAAAAATCCCTAAACAGAACATCAAACTTAAGGCTGCATCTTCATTAGTCAAAGTCCTTAAAAAACCAAAATATAAAATTGTTTAGACAATTAAAATATTCTAATTCTCTTCTATTAAATTCTTACTAAATTGTATTTATTTAGTGCAATTAAAATTAAATTAAATTTTTAATTAATTAAAATTAAGTCAATGTCAGAAAGAGAAATTGTCCACATGTGTGAGTGTGTGTACATTCCTGCACATGCATGTGTCGAGTATTATTAGACAGGTTTTGTGACTTTAGAGTTCAAGTTAGCACAAGTTCCTTATGCCCTGAGACCTATTCTCACACTTCCTGAGACTATCTACAGAATGAAATTTTGGAGAAGGAAAGTGATGCCTTTTTAATTAAAGCATTTTAGTTTTAAATGAAAGTATAGTATGACCCAATGAATATTAACATCTCACATTCTCTTTTAGAAAAATTATTTCACTCTTGGTTTAAGACACATTCTATCTTTAAACCTAAAACAATTCATGTAATATTTGTTACCCAAGACAAATGAAATGTTGAATTGGAAGATTTTGGTAAAACCGGTTAGATGGTTTTACTGAAATTTCTGTAGTTGAATACTCTCAATAAAGAAATGTGTTCATATCTCTGACTCTTGCTGTGTCTATCCTTCTCTTTCTGTAATAGGTACGTATTCAGGTTTAACTTTGACAAACTTCTAAATGTCCAGCAAAAAATGAAGAACTAGCCCAGTTATACCTGAGCACACTAAAGAGGTGCCTGTACCTGTTTTGATGGTACTCAGAATTCCTTCCTTCTGCTCACTACCCTAAATCTTTCCCACTGTTTCCTTACATTTCAATATTCCTTAACGTCTTTGTTT